ACCGTTTTTACTATTACTTCAATTAACAAGACAATTAATTGAGGAAATAAGCTATGTCTGAGCTAAACTGCCAGTTCAGGAACTGTGTGAGCCAACACTCCTAGCAAACACTGCAGTCAGCCCGTTGGTACCAAGGCCCACATGTCCTCCATATATTCACAGAAAGGAGCAAGCACACACTGTAGTCACTTCCATGGGTCAGAAGAAGGGTTTCTTGGGGGAGCCAGAGCCTTGGAGATGGGAGTGGATGATGGGGATGGGTGGTGATGGTAAGGGAACATACTGCCTCCTGTTACCTTGACTTTGCTAGACTTGAGATGAAGTCATTTGTGTGAAGCTCCATGTCAATAAACTAACACCTAGCTAGTTTCTAGTTCCAATAATGCCTGACCTTCCTAGCAGCTGAAACCTAAGTCAAACAACAGAAACCTGAGTTAATCAACTAGGATTTGCCTACTTGGTTTGACCTATTCAAAATTTCCCCCTGATCCCAAGTAAAGAAAATGTCCGCTGACCAATCTGAAACAGCTTCCTTCCTGTGTATCGGTGCTTACAAGCATGCTCTCTTTGTCTGCGCTTCTGAATGGTCAGCTGACCTCCAGCTCAGGCATTCCCCAATTCGTGAATCAAAACATAAAGCTTAAGAGTTGACACACCAATTTAATATTGACAAAATGTTATTTTTAACACCTTTTCTGAGTCTAGCCCTATCCTGCTTCCACTCTGTGTCTGGTAGTAACCTGAGACACTGGATACTCACTTGGGGTGCTCTGGTCACCCATATGCTCCACCACCAGCACAGGGCTCTGCCCCAGCCCCAGCCACCAACACACACACACCAGAGCCGATCTTTCTACTCCTGCAGCACAGCAGCAGCCCAACCACACCCACCAGGCCCCTGATCTGTTTAGCCCACCTTTCCTGTAGGGCAGACTCTCCACACACCTGAGACAGCCCAACAGGCCTACGGCCTTGCTAGTGCCATAACATCATCATTGACATAGGAAGAAGCTAAGACCCAGCAGGCCTCTGAGCATAGGGTTACAAGTCACTCACTGGTCTGGATAGCTCTACACCAGGCATATAAACACCAAGGAACAGGGCAAGCAGAGGCCAATCTAAGGTGTGGTGCATGTTCTGAGTACCACTTACGGCAGGAAACTACCAATGATCAGTTTCTACTAGCCATTGCAGTTTCATTTTCCTGCAGCGAGAAATTATTCCACAACTTAATCCAGATTGCCATCAGTGCTGTTTTCCATAGATGGAGTGCCGAGGGAAGGTGAGCAGTGCACCCTACACTGCAGTAGGTGGTAGGTACCTCCAACCCATAAGCCTGGTACCTGGCATTAAGGAGGGTGCCTGATGGAAAAACAACCCAGGACCCTTGCAGCTTTGTCAAGAAGATAAGCTTGCCCGGTACTGCCGGGACTGAAAGCTATTGCCGGCCGACTGCTGCAGACATCAGCCTCCTCTAGTCAGGACAAGAGGGGGTCCAGGCTGCAAAAGAGGGAGTCAATAGGCACCTTCTGGAAGGCACCAGATGAGGATGCAACTTCTGGGCCTTCCCTTCCCCTGGCACCTCAGGCTCCATTTTAACAGAGAGCATATTTTTTAATTCATTTTCTCCTCTCCTGCCTAAAAGGTCATTAGCTCCCCATTAGGTGAATGCATCCCACTTTCTTTATACAACCAAGGAAACTGTCCTTTACTTAGCCATCCCTAAAGCAATTCTGCAGAATACAGGCAATTTAGTGAATGAGCTCAATAAATGTCCCCAGGTTCAAAGGCCCCACCCTCAGGAGCTAGACTAGGCCCTGCCCCTGAGTGGCTCCTGGTGCCAGGGGAGGCTCAGTGGGTTGTAGAGAAGAAAGACTAGGGCCAGGCCCTGCTTGAGAAAGAGACCATGTCTTCCATTTGCCCCTGACCCAAGGAAAAAGGAAGAGTCACAGGAGAAGGAAGAAGTCACACTTGAGGGACTTCTTGATGACTCAGAATTGTAATACCGACAGAAGCAGGCATCCAAGGACCCACGGTAGTGGATGCACTGCCAGGGCATGACAAGTCTTCCTAAGGGAACATCCCGGAATCTGTGGGCAGAGAGGCAGAGCCATCATGGCATCCAGAAGCACTAGGTACAATGGAATCCAAGATGCCTGGCCCTGAAGCTAACAGCAGTGAAGCCCTAGAAGGTGCTGTGGTGGTCAGAGAGGTGAAGGTTCAGCCTGGGACAACACCCAAAGCCAGAGTTGCTTCCTTACCTGGAAGATTGTGCATGTGTTGAGAAACAAAGGCTGGGAATTCCTAAGGATAACCTTTAAAAAAAATCTTTTTATTGGGGGCTCGTACAACTCTTCTCACAATCCATACATCCTTCCATTTTGTCAAGCACATTTGTACATTTGTTGCTATCATCATTCTCAAAACATTTGCTTTCTACTTGAGCCCTTGGTATCAGCTCATTTTCCCCCTCCCTTTCCGCCCCACCCCCAACCTCATGAATCCTTAATAATTTATAAATTATTATCATTTTGTCATATCTTACACTGTCAGACATCTTCCTTCACCCACTTTTCTGTTGTCCGTCCCCCAGGGAGGGGGTTATATGTAGATCCTTGTAATCGGGTCCCCCTTTCTACCCCACCTTCCCAACACCCTCCTGGTGTCGCCACTCTCACCACTGGTCCTGAAGGCTTCATCTGTCCTAAGGACAACTTTTAAGTTGAGATCCCACAGTTTTGTTTGAGGGCACCTGTGTGAATGGGTCTTGCCCTGAGTTACAAGACAGGGAGGGCCAGATCATTGAAGTGTAGTTCTTGGAGGAGTTTGGGGTGGGGGGAGGGGGGCTGTGCGGTGGAAAGGGGCAGTTTGTGGGAAAGTGGGTAGGGAGTTGACTGGGTTCATTGTGTGTGCCTGGTGAGGGTGAGACTTGAGGGGGTCAGAAATGGGAATGTGTGCTTGTATGAATCCCAGGCCTTCTTGAATCCATGGGAGTATTCTTGTGATAATGGCTGGGTGTAGATATGAAACATGTTCGTTCTATTTGTTTCATGGCCTTGCTCTGAGGCCAGGCTGTTTCTTCCAATGTACTCTAGTCTAGGTCATTACCTCTTCAGCTAAGCTGTCCTCTCCCTCTCCCTCACCTAGGACCCAGTTTAAAAAAGGAGCGTCCCACCCTGGGGAGAGGTCTGGGTCTAGCTAGGGAGGATTCTCATCTTCTGGAGACCCAGCCCATCCCCCAGGAAGCAGCCCTGCAGTGTCTGCCACTGGAGGCTGCGTCCACCAGAGGGTTTCCTGAGGCCTAGCCCTGGTTCTTGCATTGGCTCTAGGCGGAGTGTTTTGCTCTCTGGAGTGGTCCAAGGAGAGCAGGTTGGATTGCTTCAGTGTAACGGCCGGTAAAGAGTTGTGTATGCTTAAAACCTATCCCAACGTCCATGTGTCCGGCGTGTGCAGGATCACCACAATTAACCTGACTTCTTGGTCATTTGAGCTCAGCTTTCCTGGATGGCAGAAGCTGCCTGCTGCTACCAACTCCATGGGCCAGGGTTCTCAGGTCAGGGTGCCATTGCATTCTTGCCAAGGCCTCTGCTGTCTGGTACCACAGCTTTAAGGTCTACTGAGGCTGGCGAAGGCTGTCCAGGGCAGTAACCACAGACTCAAAAAACTATAAAGTTATAAGCTGGAGTCACAAAGGAGCTTCCAAACCCTGAATCTTACCACACGAAGCGAGCTTGCGTCTGTCTTCCCTCTCCAGGGCTGGGACCGAGGACTAGGCGTGCACTCTCGATTCCCATCCTCCCTGACAGCAAGGAAGGAGCTTATTCCCAAATGTGACTCATTATCCTCATCTCCTCTCCACTCCCACTCCAGTCGGTACCCTGGGCAGGCCTGTGAGCCCAGAGCTCAGTGCAGGGACCAGAACTAGAAGTAAGGGGATTTCTTGAGTTCCCAAAAGCCCCAGGAAAAGAAAATCCTTTGTAAGAAGTGGGGAGGATGACCTGCTCCCCACTCCTGAAGGAAACTTGGAAAGCACAGAAGCACTGAAGAGAAGAAGGTGGCATATTTGAGAGTCACTTAAATACGTGCGTGGCCAGGGGATTCGAAGGTTCTACAGCTCTGAGGTTCATCCAGTCATACACAGTATGAGGGTGGGGGCGGTGACCAGCCTTGCAGGGCCACACCTAATGCTGATATCCTTACCTCGATTTCACAAAGCCCAGCACAGATTTCCGCCCCTCCATAACCTGATAAAGAATTTTTTTTTATAAGCTTGGCCCAGAGCCTTCCTTTGGCCCCTAAGGATGCTGGGTGGGGCTCCGACCACTGTATGGCCTTGGCGAGTAGACCTGACTAGTGGGAGCGGACCCTCGAGGATCCTTCTCCAGTAACACAGGCTTTCTATTTGTACAGATCGAATGGAAAGACAGATCACAGAAAACCAACCTTCTACGAGGAGCCGATTCCCCTCGGCAGCCTAGGCGGCCGGGGCGTCGAAATGGAGGAAGGACTTAACAGACCTGGCGCGCAAAAAGGCGTCCGAGAGGGCGAAATCTTGTGCAGAAATAAAAGTCCCCGTGTTCAGGACCCCATTCTGCCGAACCCGCCGCCAGCGGCGAAACCGCAAGATGCGAACTGTTCGCTCCGGGGCACCCA